CTGTTCGTCTGGAGTGCCTGTGAGACAGTTTAAACTGGCTGGCTCTATTATTATTCTGATGTGTCCATTGTTTTCTGTTTAATAACCAGACGCTCCGGGCTGTTCTGAATGCTGCAATTTCCCAAGGGGATTATCCTGTCACTCTCAGACAACACTCCAAAAGACTCAATGGTATTTCATCAGCCATTCTGCTTAGCATGGGCTTGCAGAGTTAGAATTGAGCCCAAAGACTGAAATCTCTTATTAATTTCAGTTGCCACACAAACTCATCTACTGGGCCTAGAACATAACAAGGACTCAAAAAGGAGACAAAATTTTCTGTTCTCAATTATGAAAAACATAGAGGGGATAAGAAGAATTTTTAGGAACCATTCTGGGAATATTTCAGATAATTCACGTTGTAAAACTGGAACCTCAATAGATTAGCCATCCTCTTTTCTTAAAACTAATCATTTTGAAAAACAATCCTCCCTAGAAATGCTATTTCCGTTGGGGAATAAGCTGAGTATTTTTCTGGAAATGCTTTCACAGTGAGCACACCCAGAATGGCTTTCTAGAACCTCCCATTCTTGTCCCTGAAGCAAAACTGCTGCATGAGACCCTGCTTCATTCTCAGGGTCCCAGGATGCTTGACTGCAGCTGAGCAGAGCCGAGGAGTCTCAGCCAGGACTCTGGTCCCCAGGGTGGTTCAGGGCTGCAAGATGCCAGGTGCCATCTCTGTATGCACCCATAGGTGAAGCCACTCATGTAGAACCTGGGTGAGCTACAGTTCGCCCTGTCCTCTTCCCCCTGCTCATGCCTCAAGTCCAATATGTGTGTACAGTGCCTAAGCATTACAAAAAGAAAGAAGAAATCAGAACTGGGATTATCTCAAGAAACGAATCAAGGTGCAGAATCTCTTACAGGCAATATTCTTCCCTTTTAATTTATGCAGTTAAGTTTTTCTGGATGTTCGCGGATATTCAATATTAACTTAAGACACAAATATCTCAGGGGAAAGATAAAGTAAGAGCTTGTTGTTTTGTTTTTGTTTTTAAATATAAAGGGTTATGTTGGGCCAGGCATTCAGCCTAGCCATGGAGGCATCAGTTAGTATGCCCACATCACACATCAGATGCTTTGGCCACTGCTCTGGATTCTAGCTTCTGGTTGAGACACACCCTGGGAAGCTGCAGAGGGGAACTCTGAGAGCTGAGTTCTGGCCACTCCCATGGGAGATTTGGAAGATGTTCCCTGCTTTCAACTTGAGCTCCAGCCAATGGCTGTGGTGAGCATTTCTGGAGTGCGCTGGTGGATGAGAGCCTGCTTTCTCTCTCGCTCTCTCTTTCAGTGCTTTCTTTCTCTCTTTGCCTTTGAAATACATTTTTAAAAATTTTTAGAGAGTTATGTTCAATGTGAGGCAGTAGTAACTGACAAACAGAAATGTATAGCGATATTGAAAAGCAGCTCTTTGCCAGAGTCACTCAGAAGTCCAAAACCCCAAAGGAGCGTGCTGTGTGGAGCAAGCTGGAAGCTGCACCATCGACACTCCTTGAACGATTGCAAGAAAAGCCCCATCAACTCCAACCACCCAATCCAAATACACCCAGGCCTTTGAAGGGTCTCCCACCACGGAGCTCTACCAGGGCAATTTTGACATTCAGCAGTGTCTAGAGGATGCATTTGGTTGTCATAAGAAGGGGACACTACTTGCATTTAGTGGGTAGAGGATAGGGATGCTGCTCAACATTCTATAGTGTTCCATACAGCCCATCCCTTCCATGACCACGGATGCAAAATGTCAATAGTGCCAGGGTCATCAGGGCTCATTCAGATTGCTTTCAGCTCAGAGCAGCAAGAGCCTCCTAGTGCTGTGGTGACTCCAGTGAATGACCGGTGCATAAGTGACACTCCCTGGAACTGACAGGGAAGGTTCTCCTGATCACCTTTGTTGTCTGTCCAGAGAAATTTGACAAATTCATTTAAGTGCTCTTTATACCATCTTTGCATTGATCATTTTGTACACCTGTTGGTGGCTTCTAGAGGCAGCTGCTACTTCCTAAGGCACCCCCAATCTGAAAACAGCCCATTTGCTTTCATCTGAAAACAGCCCATTTGCTTTCATCTGAAAACAGCCCATTTGCTTTCATGAACCATGACACTGAAACAATAAGCTGAAAGCCCTTCGGTCAAAATAAAAATAAAACCTCCACAATGCAAAAGGACTTCTGCCAAACAGTTGCTTAGTAGGGGGCCTAGATTTGCATCAATGAAGCTGCTGGTCTCTCTCTCTCTCTTTTTTTTTTTTTAAGATTTATTTATTTTTATTGCAAAGTCAGATATACAGAGAAGAGGAGAGACAGAGAGGAAGATCTTCCGTCCGATGATTCACTCCCCAAGTGAGCACAACGGCTGATGCTATGCTGATCCGAAGCCAGGATCCAGGAACAACTTCTGGGTATCCCACACAGGTGCAGGGTCCCAAAGCTTTGGGCCATCCTCAACTGCTTTTCCAGGCCACAAGCAGGGAGCTGGATGGGAAGTGGAGCTGCCGGGATTAGAACCAGCACCCATATGGGATCCTGGCGCATTCAAGGCAAGGAATTTAGCCACTAGGCCACGTCGCTGGGCCTCAGGCTGGTCTTCTTTAATAATATAGCTCTATTTCTCATTTCTTTTTCTTGGATACTTGTGGTTCGAATTTACTTGGAATAGCACTTGTGTCTTTTATAAAACCCTACAGGGCTGAGCGACTTATATGATTATTATACAGTTGCATTTTCCGTGGTGTCAAGACATGCTCCTTAATTCCATGTTCTGCAGGGAATAAAGTCTCTTCAACAAATACTGTTGGGACCAATGGGCTAGCTACGTGTAGAAGTAAGAAACAAGATGCCACCCCCAACCCTGCTTCACTGTATACAAAAATCAAATCTAAGTGAATCAAGGACATAAATCTACACTCAGAAACCATCCATTTCACTGCCATTTTCCTAGAATGATCCAAATGGTACACACATTAAGAGGGATTAGTGTGATATGTTCAAATTTATCTCCAAACCTTTTTAGTTTCCTTAATGGCAGGTTTGATATAGCAAAGCATGTGTTTTGAAACAGAAAGAGAGAGAGAAAGAAAAACCAGACCTATACATAATGACCCTTAGTGTACCCTCCAATTGCTTTTCTAGTTCAGGAACAGGATGTATTTGAAAGGTTCTTGATTAGCGCAGCTCCACATCAACAAATGTTTTGAAATGGGCAAAGAACAGCCAATGAAACATTGGCAATATAATAAAGCAAAATGGGGAAACATGGTTTATAGATTATTTTCTCCAACAGGAAATTTTCAAATCCAACAGAACAGACCTTTATAGCACATGGTGGGCTTGTTTCTCTGGCCATGAAAGGGGCTTGACTTCTAGGATGGATGTTTACGCGTCATTAAAATGCAGACTAGGTTGGCAAAATTTGGTGAAAAAACAAATGCACTGAGTGAACAGCACAAGGAAGGTGTTATGTCAAGTGAAGACAGTGGAAATCATATTTATTCTACCCAGATTTTTAAAGCCAAGGCTCTCCCATTTAGTTGACCATTCTCGGACCAGTCAGCACTTCATGAAGTTGACTTCAACACAATTTCTGACAACATCAGTAGCTGACTTCCTACAGGTGTACCTGTTCTGTAACCTTGCCACTTCTATTATTTTTCCATCTTGCTCTCAGCTGACATGACACTTTTTAATTAATTGGCACAGAAATGGTTGCCCACTCCATAACCACTTTACCTTGCCATGAAGACCCTGTCAGTAGACAATGTGTCTCTGAGGAACTTGAATTTCGCTCTCCCTCACCACCTCCTTGAACCTCAGAGGAATAATCTTGACCGATTTAAGTCTATTTTGCTTTGCTTGGTTGGCCTAAGCGTGGACATAAAACACAGTTCTGAACAGTCAAATCCTAGGGGAAACACAGAGGGAGCTCCTGAGGACATTTTCCTGATTTTTAAAAAGTTCACAAAAACTATAGCTTTTATCGGAAGTTGGAAGTTGGTGTTTGTATCAACAGCAGCTTCCATCTGAGGGTCCTGGCAGTTACCAGTTATGGGGAAAGCCAATGGCCTGAGACGGTAGAACAGAGAGAAGAAAAGAAATAGACTCCTTTGTCATGTGGTTGAGGATGCTGGGTCGACTCACCTGCCACCAATGACAACCACTGTTCTGATATAGTGAACACCTAATGGGCACCTATTGAACCTCCAAGTTAACATGAATGTTAGAGTTCTCATTGTAACCATTCTCTCTCTCGTTTGTTTTTGCCTTCCTATGTTTCATTCTAAAATATTTTCTTCTGATCTTAGTAATTGGTCCATCACCCTCCCTGGGTGTGCATTAGCAGAAAGCTGGTGGTAGGCAAGGCCAGGACTCTAACCCAGGTCCTAACACTGGGCGAGGATAACCCAGGTGGTATTTTAACTGCTGCCCCTATTGGATTCCTATTCAAAACCACTAAGTCATGTTAAAAAAAAATAGATCCTGGCTCTCTAATATGAAGTTTCTGAGCTCACTCTAAGAGGAGACTGCATGCTGGAAGTTTGTCCCCGGTACCTGTGTTTGTCTGCCTCTAGTTGATGTCACTTTGTCTTCACAGATGTCTGACATTCTCTGTGCTTCAAACACTGTATTTATCCTTGCCCAGGAAGGAGTTTCATTTCTTCCCACTAGGTTTCAACAGGCTTCTGCCACTCGACACCTTAATCCGTTCCTAGGTCTAGTAGGGGCAAGTTGGTTCACTTCCATTTCATTCTTGCTCCCAGCCCAGACCTTTAGGGTCTCCCTTAAGAGTAGCATGGAAGTGGGGACGGGGTGCGTTGGCACCAGAGCAGAACTCCAGAATGTCCTTCTGTGGCTAGGAGGCTTTCAAAAGCACTGCCAAGCCTCTTACCAGATTTCTGGAATCAACAAGAGACATGTGCAGTCAAAGCAACCCCAAATGCCAGACTTACTTTCCTGGATTTCTATCTTTCTTCCTGGCTACTAGTCTTATAATTTGTTATTATCCTTGCACAGGGGCCATGCTAATCTTCTCTGTATCATTCCAATTTTAGTATACGTGCTGCCAAAGCGAGCACTGTCAATATCACTTAAGTTCTCCAAAGCCTTCAAGTGACACTATCAGCTTCTTTTTTTTTTTAATTTAGATTTTCTTGTTGCTCTTAGTAGGAGAGACGGTCCAGATGACCCAGCTCCTCATTTATAAAACCCTAGTAGATTACTTCTACTTAAATCCCCCATCATCTCCTTCAGCTATTTTATCAGGCGTCTATTTTTCTGCTCATCTGTATTTGAAAAATCTTCCAGTTTGTATCACGATACCTTCCATTCCTGACTTCCCGTTCATTTTTTTCCCCAACATTTCACCAAAACTTCTCTGATGGAGGCCACTGAAGCTCAACTCTGTCTTCATCTTCCTTAGCCTCTCTAAGCATTCAACACACTCGAGTGCCAAAAAATCATGCACGGCTTGTTTTCCTCCCAAACACCTCATCATTTATGCCAAGTCCTCTTTGATGAATCCTTCTCCTTATTTTAATCCTCAAAATTAGAGTTCCTTAGAGCTCAAGCATGGACTCCTTTATCTATATTCACTCTTGAGTCATCTCATTTTTTCCTCATGACTTTAAATTCAGTGGCTGAATATTGAACTCCCACATTTATAGCTGTAGCTCCAACCTTTCCCTTTGGTTTCCTATTTGGTATAATGTACTTGGATATTAAGTAGTCACCCCAAACCTCACATGACCAAAACACAGTCACTGCCTTCTTTCCTCTTCCCTCAACTTAACCCTATTATTATTATTCTTCATCCCAGTAAATGGTTCAACCACTGAATGATTTTTTTCAATCCTCAGTCTTTGCTGTCACGTCTTAATCTCACATATATTATCTATCTCATCATTTTTTGCTAGCTGCATTGGCGCTATCATGTATCAATAAAAAGTGCTTAGATTTGGAGAAAACTCAGCTACAGTGGCTTAAAATAAGTATCAGAAAATCAGCTTCACCCCCTCTCCCAGGTCAAATCTAGCCTGCCATCTATTTTGCCAAAGAAAGTTTTATGGAAATACAATCATTCTCGCTCTTTTACATATTATCTAGGACTGTCTTTGAACTATAGCAGGACTGTAGCTATGACAGCGACTATCTGGCTCACCAAGCCTGAAACATTCGCTTTCTGGCTTGTTTGTTTGTTTGTCCAGGCTTTAGGGAATAATTACTGGGCTCACATGGAGGATATCCAGCGGTACACTGCATGCAGCTACCCACTTAATGCCATAGTGGCTGCTCTGTCTTCTTTGGTTTATTAGTTTGGAGTCCCAATCAACTACTGTCCTGCCAGGCATTAGGTCACAGTTCTGGTATGAAGAAGGGAGGGGTCCAAAGAGGAAACAGAGAGGTGGTCATACATGTCACCATGTCTATTGCAGGACTTAACGGGAAAGACAAGCTGCTGCTGTTAGTGTAGTGTACCTGCCGTCTCATTGGGAAGGACCCTGTTAGCTGATATCAAGAGTTGCAAAGGAAATCGGGTGTTTCTCTAACAGAGAAAGGAAATAAAGAAGAGACAAAGGAGCAAGGCTGCATAAGTCCATGCACAGTGTGCGTCATGTGAAGTTGGGCTACTTCCTGAACTCCCTGTTGGTTTTCCTACTAACAGACCTGCCCTTCATGATCTGTTCATCAAACCAGGTGGATCTTTCTCAAAAAACAGAGTCCCACCATCTCATTGCTTTGCTCCAAATCACATTTAGAATAAAATCTAAAGCCTTTGGTCTTTAGCAATTCTCCTTCCTTTCCCCATCTTATTCACTCATTATTATCCATCCTTCCAGATGTACTTATTAAGAAGTAGCGCATCAGAGAGAGAGGAGAGACAGAGAGAATTTTTCATCTGCTGGTTCACTCCCCAAATGGCCACAACAGCAAGGGCTAGGCCAGGCTAAAGCCAGGAGCCAGGAATTCCTCCTGGGTTTCCCAGCGAGGAGGCTGAGGAAGGAGAGTGGTTGAGGAGGGGAGCCAAGAACTCAGGCCATCCTCTACCACTCGGCCATATGCTGGCTCAGATGCAGAGCAGCCAGAACTCGCACCAGCACTCTGGTATGGGATGCATCACAACTTATTATGCCACAACCTCAGTCCCCTGCATGTTCTTTAAACACCCACAGTCCAACCTCCAGTGACTCTGCTGGGCAGTGCTGCTCCCAGATCTTCATGTGGTCTACTCTCACTTTACCAAATGCCTCCTCTTCAAAGAGTACATCCTGCTGTACAAAGCAGCATTCAGACCACTTCATCCTATTCCTAGCACCTAACATTACAGCTGTTGCTTATCTGTATTTAGTGCCATATGATATATGAGGCGATGTCCCCAGACCCTTGCCATGGGGCCTTTGCACAGAGTATGACTAATATCGTTGAATGAATGGGTGAATTCCCACCCATGCCAGTTGTGCCCATTTTGAAACTCATCCTCCCTGGTTTTTACAAGGGAATAGGAGAGGCTGGGGTAATATCTTGGTAACCCTTTGTCTCAGGATAATTGTGACAGTATCACTTAAGCTCTCAGCATATTCATTCCATCACCTGAAACCCAGAAGTGGGGAGGGAGTTGCTTTCTGAGACAATTTCAGTGCCCAGGTGTCCCTTGGACATCTCGGCTAATGGACTCTCACTCCCTGTATAGGGGTGGAATGGGAGTCAGAAGTGAGGGGGCAAGGGAGGTGCTTACTGTTCTATATAACCTGCTCCTCTACACACTTGCTGATACAAAAAAGAATGGCTTCCTTTGTAATTATTCATTTTTTTCACATGGCTTGTCTCTTTCAAAAAGATTTATGATATGGCATAGAAGCATAGAAGTATAATGAATCCTTGCTCTTTCTACTGCTCTCCTTTTTACATAAACAGCCCAAGTTGTGCTAGATGCAGAGCTCTGGGCACACTTACTCCTTCCAGGCATGAGTTGCATTGTGTCTCGGGCTATTTTTCATTCTCTCCATGTTCTACGTTGTACGTGTTACCTGCACCTGCATTTTTCCTGAGTCTCCTTATATCTACACAGCTGTGCTGGTGTTTTTGAGAAAGGGCAAAGAATGAAAATAGGTGGCCCACAGAAACATGACAAATCACTGAGACCTGGGGCAGTGGTCCCTGAAGCCTGTATCATTTGTCCTGAGCAGAGAGGGCTAGAGCTAGTGCCATGACATGACAAGATCTGAACCCAGGAGCTTAATGAGGAAGAGTTCAAGCTTAATGAGGAAGATGAGGAGGATGGAACTGGCCAGTTTGGCAAGGCTGGGGCCACACCCTCTAGCTCTTTTTTGTGCAAACTTGTCAGGAAGATATGCTACCTTCAATGAGTGGCCAAAAAGAACTGACTCAAAAGGGCTAGTGGAGAATTGCCCACATCACTGGCTCAATGCTACTAATGGTGGATGAGTGGATTATGGAAGCTGTTACTCTACAACCCACACCCACACCACCACCTCTACAAACAATCGACTAGACCTGGTTAGTGCACAAGCAGTGGACAGAGTATTTGTCATAAGTGTAGATTGTTTGGCTGGCTGGTGAAGATGCACTTGGGATGCCTCCATATCATGTTGCTGTTCCTGGGTTCAGGTCCCAGATTTGCTCCTCATTCTAGCTTCCTGTTAAGGAGCACCCTGGAAGACAGAAGCAATTGCTCAAGCAATTTGGTCCCTGCCACCCAAGTGAGAGACTTTGCTCTTGATCCCAGGTTCTTGACTTCAGCCTGATCCAGCCCTGGTGCTGATAGAATTTGGGGAATGAACCAGTGAGAAGGAAATTCTCTCTTCTATCAATTAGTAGCCCAGCTACTATTTGAAATGTATAGACTATTGGCCCTGGTGTAAAGTATTACTAAGTGGCTTTTTATAGGTTATACCAGCAGAGGCACATGTTAACAAGGTTCATAAGGTTTCTTGCCCAAACGTCCAAAATCACAAGCGTTTAACTCAGTGCATCACACCCATTTCAAAAGATACCAATATTCACCCCCATTTAAACCACACATCTCCTTCAATGTGTACTGATCAAAGCCATCAGTAATTCTTAGACCCCAGAGAGGTCTAATGTATCCCAGGTCCTGTGGATTTCAAGGTCCTCTTTGCCTTGCTCAGAACAAAAAGTGAATTCACTTGGAATAAAAGGAGCTCCTATGTCCTCAGCATACATTGTCACAGGAGAACAATGTTTTCTCCTGTGGCCAAACTTGCCTGGTAGTGAACAGTTTCTCTAAATCAAGATTTGCTTGTCAGTCACTTGTACTGTTATTTCCGAACCAAAATTATGACTTGGGCAACAATGAGATTCTTGCTCCTGGCAGCATTTTCAATCAGGTGGTTAGCAGACATTCAGCAAAGCACTGGGAACTAGTGTTCTAGTGACGGTGGATGGAGGAAGACAAGCACTTCAGGTGTGTCTTTCATCAACCTCAAACAGGTAATCTCCTCTCATTGAGAGTGTGGCAGACAAGTTCAGCCATCCGGATGCAGCCGATTTAAATAACATCTGGAGGAAATCAGGCTTGCTTTGTTGATTTCTGACGTAGGCTTTTCAAAAGTGTCCTTTCTCCAACTGCTCAACACCGCGCTCTCCTCCTTCTGCCTTGGTCTCTCTCTCTCTCTTGCGCTTTTCGCAATGCCCCCCACCTCCCCTCATCAAAGAGCTTCCCTCCAACACAGGCTTCTCTTTTTGCTCTTCCTCCAAAGTCAGAAACTTGTAAACAGGTTCCACCTGCCCTGTTCTGCAAGCATCCCTCCCCCTCCCTCTCCACTCCCCACCCCTCATTCCCATTCAACCCAGAAACAGCAAAGGGCAACAAGGGAGGAGCAGCCACTGGTTGATACATACATGAAAGAAGCCCTCGAAGCCTGGGTTCCAGTCCTTCTTGGGTGACACACTTTCCAATCCATAAACTTCTCACCACGCTGAAAAACATTCATTATGCCACTCATAAGTGGAGGTCTCATGTGACAGTCTGCTGTAAAGCGTCTCCGTGATTATAAAGAGAAAATCAGCCACTTGTTCTGCAGGGATTGTGCACCAA